GTGACAACAGAAGTAACTAAGGATTCATAAATAGATTTTATGTTTTTAAAGTCTTTTTTCAAGATTTTTGCCAGGAACTTTATTTACTGCATTTTGTACACATTATGTAATTAAATGGGAAGAAATAAATGTTTTGCCAAAGTATAACATCTATACATAGCAATTACAGGTTCAGAATTTATATGGATAAAGTGTAATTAGGAATTATTTCACGAATTATAGAATAAGAGAGCATGGTCTCATTGCAGAGGAGTCTTGCCTCCTGCTCTGTGTGGTTACTTAGTGAAAACATCACATTTGCCTGAAGTGCTGAAAAAGTCTAAAATTGCTTTTAAAATACATTGCTGCTTGATTTAGCTGTATTTGAAATGATGACGGAGGATGAAACATAGTGTGAAATTTGTTCTTGCTTAGAAAACATCCATCTTTTTATTTATGCTAAATGAAGTAAGTTATAATCTCCTCAAAGATTCTACGTCCCAAACTCCTGTTTCGTTTCTAATTTTAACATTTGTTCAAAATCTCCAAAGAGGTTACGGAAAGCAATGAGTATGCATAGGGAGGTTGCTGTACTTGATAATGGCCATCATGTTTTCTCTGTTTAGTAGCTGTGTATTTTAGTTGGTTCAGTTAAATGGCAAAGTTCTCCCCTGTATTGGAGTCATTGCAGCTGTTCTCAGGCAAGTAAAATACTAAGTATATTTGCTGACTTAACAATGTTTTCTGTTGCCAAAGCAAAGGATTTTTTCTAACGTGTGTAGCCTTGTACTGACGTGTACCCTTCCTCGCAAAGAAGTGTTCAACAGATAAACATTTTCTTGCTACTTCCTTGAAAAAACTGAAGCATGGGCCTGACTTTCTCTCCTGATAGGAAAATATAGCGTAAAAGTGGGTTGTTTTTTTTCTTTTGTGTTCTCTCTCGTAGGCTTTTGGGTTTTTATATGACAATTATGCTGAATAGAATTGAGCTAATACTTTTTTGGTGAATTGTTCACTAGAAGTGTGGCTCTGGAACAGGTAAAATTGTTTGTAATTTGTATTAAATTCACTAACTGGTTTTAAATATTGTCAACAGTTTAAATGCAAACAAAACATAAAGGAGATGAAGCATTTTCTTTAAATATACTGTATCCTAGATCAGAAGACAAGTCTGACGAAATGTTTCCCTCCACTCAGGATGATCACTGGCATAAATATTATTATAATACTCTATTATGATATATTAAGGTGGGATTTTTTTTTTTCTCTGTAGAGAGAAATTATCTCAGTACTGAGGTTAAATTAATCCAGGTCATCTATTTTTCTGATCTAATGAGCTGCCTCCCAAATAGCTGAAAACTGCAAGATGCCCACCAGCTGCTTTGAACAAGCGGAGCAGGGAGAGGGTCTACAGGAGGGGTCTGGAAGTGGTTTACAGCAGGGGATGTATAAATGGTTGTCTTTGGTTCAGTTAGAACATCTCGTGCGGTCCAAGCAAGATCTTTTTTCTTCTTCTTCATACTGAGAGAAAAAAGTTTGCTTTCGCCCCCTGCCCCAACCTCTAATTCTAGTTGATCTAATGTTTGATCTGAGATTGGCTAGCAATTATTCACATAGCTCTGGTGTCTAGAGACTTTAAAAGTAAATTCACGCTAAATATAAAGTTCATTGTTTTAATAAAATCTTGCTCACTTATTGTTCCAAATATATTCATAAGCGTTATGACTTTCCATGCTCTTTGGAAGATTTACGCCAAAGCTCTAGATTTTTGATAAAATTTTACCTCTAAACCACAAATTTTTAATGAAAATTTGACTTTCAGATGGAGAGTCTGACTTCATAATCCAGTTTTCTGTACTGTGCAAGTAATACATGCTTTTGAAACAGTTGCAATTACTTGGTTCTTTGGCAACTGACTGAACTCGGTTAAATATTACACATTTAAAAATGCTTCCCCATTTTTTAAATTGGTGCTGTTTTATACTGTGCCATATATCAAGATGAGTCTAGTGATGAGTAACAGCAGAAGGCAGAATAAGGAAAATATTTCGTTTATATTAATTTTTAGACAGAAGGTTCTTCATAGATTGGATGAGGTTGGTGATCTTGAGTAAGTTGATGATTTAAAGCTTCAGCAGTGTAGCCAAGTTCACAGCTTTGCTTACAGTGGCAAGAGTTGTCTGTCGATTGTCCGTTTCCTTGCTTCCAAGCACCTGGGAAACAGAAATTTCTGCAAGGAGTGTTTTATGAGCAGTTTAGCATGGCAGGGCTTTGGAATATATTCTCTTGTTTCTAAGTAGGTAAATGGCAAGACAGAGATAGCTACAATAGAAACAGTTTATATATGCTTTTTTCAGACCAAGATGGGATCTCCACCTGCTTGCACTTACTTTGACTTTTCCTAAACTCCAGTGGCTCCAGGGACTTGAATTTGAAAGGTGCTGAGCATTTCTGACCCCAATCCATCAACCAGCATGCTTCTGGTGCAACGTTGAATTCACAGCAGTGTGATTACTCATGGTGTGGGTTTGTTTTTTTTTTACTTTGTACTAGTGTACACTTTACAATGTTTAATAGTTTCAATATCATTATTGAATTTCATATATTTTTCCTCTTGTAAAGGGTTTTCTGTTCCTATTTTTGTTTCTGTTGTAACTGCCTGCCTCAAATGGTTTGTCCGTGTTCTGCATGGATGAAAAGCTAGGTGGTGGTGCTGGTTTGCATTTTTTGGAGAATTGTTTGCTATGGTGTTCATCCATATATGCCTAGTCTTTCTTTCTCTCTGCTGGAACTACTGTCTGTTCATATTCCTGCTTTTTGCCATGCAAGTTCTTCAGACCTTTTTTTTTTTTTTTGCAGGGGAATAATTGCAACTTTAGTATCTAGATGCATTCACTCAGTTCTCTGGTGTGACGGCTGATATACTGTCTTTTTGTCTAGTGTATTTTATTGAGATTTTAAAAAACTCTTTGGATCAAGGAGAGTGCTTCCTCCATTCATTTACATGCCACATTTCTCTGTAGCAGTGGATACCTAGGAACAATACCAGCAATGTTAATTAAAAGATACGCATCAATGCAAAAAAGCATAAATGCAATTATAGTATAATGTAAGTTCTAGCCATTGTGCTATGCTGACTACCACAAAATTATTTGTCCAATTTAGTGAATTTACATGTTTTTATTAATTGGAGACATAATTTGTTTCATGCAGTGTTGCATGGAACACACAATACAGTTTGAGTTCAGCCTTTGTATACCCAATGGTCTATACGATGCGGGCCGTTTCCCTGGGGTCCATACTGGGGCCATTACTGTTTAAACTCCTCATTAATAACTTGGACAGTGGGGTTGAGTGAACTTCAGCCAGTTTGCAAGTGGCACCAAATTGGGGAGAGTATTTGATATGCTGAAGGGTAGGACTGCATCTCAGAGGCACCTTAGCAGGTTGGACAAATGGGCTGGCAGGAACCTCCTGAAGTCCAGGAAAAGCAAATGTGTGAAGTCCTGCACCTGAGACCGAATAGCCCCATGGAGCAGTACAGGTTAGGGATTGACTGGATAGAAAACAGCTTCACAGATAAAGACTCAAAGATCTTCATGGACGTCAAGTTGAAGGTGAGTCAGCGGTGTGCCCTTGTGAGAAATGCTAGTTCCATGTGCACTACATCAGTAAAATCATAGCACCAGAAGTGCACGTTGACAGGATAAGAGACAATGGACACAAGTTACAGCAAGGGAAGTTCTGATTAGGTATTAGGAAGAAAAATTTTGCAGTGGAATTAGACTTTGGATCAGAGATGCTGTGAAATCCTCATCGTTAGAGATGGTCAATATGTGACTGAACAAGACCCTGAACAGCCTCATCTGACTTTAAAGTTGGCCCTGCTTTTCAAGGGATTTGGACCAGAAGACTACTGGAGGTCCTTGGTGATCTAAATTACCCTATGTACTTGAAGTATGATTGCATTAATTGTTTGAAAGGCACAAGTGGCATCTGACTAGGCATGGCAGCTAAATAGTGTGACTGTGCAAACATTTCTTAATAGAGGTTTGTCAGAGTGCTAGCAACAGTTGAAACTGAAAAGGTAGGGGATTATCAGTATTTCAGTAGTTTAGAGGCATGTTCAAGCTGAAACTTCAGCAGGTCTGGTTTTATTTATTTCTTTTTGCTGCTATCATTCCTACCTATTTCTACAGTGGATGACTTTTTTACACTAACAAATTGCCAGCACCTGCAAAATACGGAAAAAGAGAGATTTCCCTGCCTAAAAGACATATTTTTGAATAAGCTTTTCTAGTCTGAAGAAAAAAAAAAATAACAGAACGGGGGGAGGAAGTGATTTTTAGGGTCTGTTGTATAAAATAAAAAAAGTTAAAGGAAAAAAAGGTGCATAAAACAGACGGTTTTATTTAAAGCCTCCAAAGCTGATAAGAGGGAAAAAAATGGGGATACAACACACAGGCTGCAAATGCAGTTCTCATGATTTAAATCTGGAAGGCTGTACAGTACATCTGTTTAACATCTTGCAGTTTCAAGAACTCTGCCTTGAAAACCTTCTGTCACAGTGACACATGAAATAAAAGGTTATGTTATGACTTTCAGATGCAAACCTGTAAAAGGTTTATCTAATGGCATACCATCTTTTATTAACCCGTTGCTGCTGCTCACCTATAACTCTCTCTCGCCAGCAGTTTTGGGAGAGATTCTACTGTGTAATGAAAAGAAATGTCAACTCAGACTGCAAAAATAGTTCTGTAATGGCATTAAATGACTTATTTGCCGTATGTAAATGGCAAATTTACATATCTGTATACCTCCTCATCTGGCTTCCCTATTGCTCTTAATATTATTCAGCTCTATATTTTTTTTTCTTTGATTAAAGAAATGGAACAGGTTATTCTATTTCTGACGTAAACTTTGAGAACAATTAGAGTGGCACAGAATGATTTGAATAGTTTCAAGATTTATAATGCCATAGGGGATAAGATACTAGAATGGCTTAAAGATGGTATTCTTGATTCAGAGGTCTGAGTTTGAGACTATGAAGTTAAAAGAAATAAGGGTGTAATGGTTGCCTTCTCATTAATATTTAGGACTTCTGCATCTCAGAGTTTGAAAAAATTATCAACCTTTGCTCAGAGGACAAAGCTATGGTATAGAAGTTGTGTTGTCAAAATCTTCTTGGCAGAGCTGTGCTAGGAAATGTTTATCGGGCTAGGCTGAAGTTTGCTTAGTTGCAGAAAGTGTGGTTAGTGCAAGAGTTGTTCTTCAGGGTCCTACACAGCAATTACCTAGGAGCCTACTGCAAAATACAAGGGGTGCTATGAGCCATTTAATGGAGTTTCCTCTAACCTCTTAAAGCAGAATTTGGGGCAAACTACCCTGGCTTGCCTGCTCCTGACATATTAGTACCAATGTTGCTCATTGAGTCTTTATGTACTGCCTAGAGATGCTTCATACCTTACTAGATCAGGTTGTGCAAACCTTCATCCAAACTTAACAGTTGAAGTCTGATGGTTCCAAAATTAGAGAGTCTGGAGCTCGGTTGTCATGCTTGTCGCTTCCATGATTTTTCGGAGTGACTTTGGTTAAGTTGTTCAGCTAGGTAGTGCTGTGGTTTCCATAGTTATGAAATATGGAGAGTAATATTTACCTTGTTGAAACACGCTTTACTCATTGTCTGCAAAGTACTTTAGAGATCCTTGGTTGAAATTTCAACGGGTGCTGCTATTTAATATGTTGAACTGTGATTTGTTGGTTTTCTTTACAAGGCACAGATGCTCCCCAAGAAGCAACGGTACTTTCTTTACCTCGAGGAGCCGATGCCACGCATGCAGCAAACGCATCACAACGCTGAGCTCCGCTGTATGACCTACAGTGAGTGGGCGTGTGAAAGGGAGAGAGAGATAGCATTTCCTTCATAGACATACACACCCTCTGACCCAGACTAGAGAAGAATCTGCTTTGCAGAAGGTTTGC